GTAATATTTTTTAATTTAAACATTCATTATTTTTGTTGATCACACTTTATATACTAGTAATACATTGTTATTCTTGTCCTTTTTTAACCTCGCTTTCTCATAATCTTTCCTATTCTCAAATCTTATCTTTCTGATTTTTTTTCACAGACAACTCATAATCCTGGAGGCCTCTGATTACTACGTAACCACTTTTCTTACAAACTTAATCAGCAACAAAATTGCTCCTCACAATGTCCTTATTCACTTCTAAAATAATTAAATTACACTTTCGCTCTGAATTACTTCTCTAATTTCCCAGCTAGGACTGTTTGCCTATTCCTGACATTCTCACTGCATCATTCAATAATACATAGCAAGGGCTGGGGACATAGCTCAGTGGTAGAGCAGTTAACTAGAATGTATGAGGTCCTCTCATCCCTAGTACCAAGAAAGAAAAATAAATTCAGTGAAGTTTTAGAGTTACAGAAGCTTTAATGTTAACTTTTGTTGTTGTTTTTTGGTTCCAAGGATTGAACTCAGGTCCTTGCGTTTGCTAGGCAGGCAGCAGAACCACTGAGCTAAATCCCTGGCCCCTTTAATGTTAATTTTTAATTCGTTGCTCCAAACTTTTTATCTAAAGTAAGCCAAAAGTAAAGAGATATTGACCTGGAAGATCTAGAGCATGGATACAACCTCAAAGCATCTCGAAGGGAAAATGGACACATAGCCCAGGGGGGCAAAGTTGGCCAATTATAAATGTGATCTTACTATATGATGAAAGAGACATTTCAAATCAGAGTATTCAATAAATGGTACAAGGACAATTGTCACATTTCTGCTCAACACTGTTGACATCTCATCCCACTCAGATTAAAATCCAAATTCCTGACAGCAATCCATAAAATGATTACAACAATCTGTCTCCAAACTAAGTATCTGACTTCATTTCCTACTGCTCTTTTCCTTGCTCATTTACATTCTGGCCACACTTACCTCTAAAAAGAAACCTCTATCTAGGTATATCTGTCTTAAATCATCAACAACAGGATTTTCTCTCACTTTATTCTGCTATCCATTCAAATAAAATCAATTATGATGCTTTCTTTGTCCATTATGTATAATAGCACCCTCAAGAAATCCAAACCTATCTCTCTATTTACTTATACTTTGCTGTTTTTTCAAAGCAATCATCACAGTCTGATGTATACATGCATAGAGTGTTGTGTTTAGGGACATATGAATCAATTCTCACCATGTTCCAAGTTTTAATATATGGGAACAAGGATGTTTCTGGTCATTTTCTTCTCCTAAAGTAGTGTCAGAACCACTGGAAAGAATCTTTCTGAGTGCTAGGATATGAAAGCATTACTATATCATTTTGTAAAATTTTAAGATCTAAATATAACCTGAGGGGCCTGTGGAGTAGGGGTTGATTGTTTCCTCCAAGTGGGGTACAAGCTGCAAGAGAAAAGAAATTTTAACACCTTATTTCACTGTCTAGTCAAGAGTGAATCTGCCTCTGACTCAGATCTAACTGGTGTGACATAAATAATATTACCATGGAATAACTGAACTTGTTTCTTACTGAGTAGCTGAGAAAGTCAGGGGGTAAAGACATTGTTAGTGAACAAAGTAGTCTACGTGGATTTTTCTGTATTCTTCCCATTGGCTCACTTATTGCAGTAAATTTCTAAAGCAAAGGTAAAACTAGGGTCAAACCTTGCAATAAATTATAGGTTTTTGCATATATCCAAATTGCTATGAGCCAACATAAGGCCTGAGGTTCAGGGGTCTAAGAGTGGTAACAACTCCATTCATCCATTAGAGTGTAAGAGAACAGGTTTTTTTTTTAACTTTCAAATAAATCTTGTTTATTTCTGTTTTGAGTTTTTAAACTGAGCATTCTATCTGGTTTGATACAAGTTCAGAAATGTTTTTAAAAACAAGTTACTTTTAGCCAACAATGTAAAGGCGTATCTATATATCATAAAGTCTTTTTTAAAGAGAGTTATTTACTGATACAAATTTGTAACATAATAAGATAAAAAGTTATAAATAAGTTATTAATAAGTAAATAATAAGTTAAAAAGTTGACATACTACTATATGATGAAAAACAAAATTAATATCTGGATAGTTCACTATTTTATCCTAGAACCTAGTTCATGAATGAGCTTTTCTTTTACTCTATGTCTCAATGTCCTCAGGGAAATATGTAACACACAATGCATGACTTGGAGCCCAATGGGTGAGCAGAAAATAAAAAGAAATATTATGTCTATAATAATACACACACACACACAAACACACACACACACACAAACACACACATATATGAGAGAGAATTTGTTATTGTCTAAGGGAGGAAGATTTTTGCTTTTTCCACTGCTATATCCTAAATTTTTAAGAGAGCTAGGATTGGTAGAATAATCCTAAAATTATACTATACAAGAATGATATCATGTCTGAGTCTGGCCTAGAAATCAGGGAAAAGTGGTACATATATGCCTCCTCCTAGTCAGGATGTGAAGCCTGAATGAATTGAGGTTCTTCTCTTTTTTATTCAGTCTACAAGGTTGTGACTAGGAGCATGTTTCCCTGGGTATCAGACATATTAAAAATGAACAGTAGTTAACATTTTAAGATCTGTGCTATCAATTATTTTCTTGACATAATCCAATTGAAGAGAAGATACATGTAATCACATAATGTAGATACATATAATCATATAATCAAAATCCAAATAAATTAAACATGGTTTAAAGTTGATTATTCAGTTTGATTTTTTAAGCAGAAAAAATTGATATTATTATTGGTTATGGCTATATTTTTAGCAAATACATAAAATAATTACATGACTCACAATAAATCCATGACATTGTCTGCCTCTGCAGATGAAGAAGTATGATACCGGAAAGTGGATTTATTATTTATGATCTGATTATATAACACTATAAATCTACATCTAAAGCACACATGCTGAAATGTTGACATTTTAAAATTTGGGGTGCAGGTAAATAGATATTTTATACTTTATTATATTTTGTTATGATTTAAAAATAAATAGAATGCCAAAAATTTTTAAAAATCATCATAAGTGGCATTTCATAACATTTTCAGAATTGGACTGATCTAGTTAGTATAAAATACAAGAAAACTTATAGCATCTGAAAAGTACAATCAACAAGCTTGATAATAGAGATAATTTGGGACTCTAGCTCACACAAAATATATATTCCTTCTTAAGATATCTTTGAATAAACTAATTGCCACTGAAAAAATTAGACAACTGATTAAATATCTATAATGAAAAGTGTCACTAGGATTAAACTGTTTCGTAGCTTCTTACTAGATAATTTTTAAAGAACAAAAATTTTAACACAATTTAACTTATTTCAGTTCATGGGAAAAGACTGAAAACTTATTAAGTCATATTTTTAAAAGCTAGAACAACTTTTAATAACAAAATGATATACGGAGCATAAGAAAAAATATATAATTCCAATTTGGAATTCAAATAAAATAATTTGAAATGAAATATTGGTAAATAAAATATAGGTATGTAACAAATGATTATTTCACCCTGACCAAGTAGAGTTTATTTTATAAATATATGTTTGGTTCAATATCAAATACCTACCATCATAAATCATTACATCAACAAATAAAAAGGAAAGAAAAATCATACATTTTAACAATAGCTGTGAAAAGACATCTGACAAAATCCAGGAGCCACTTTTAATAATATTACTATGTAAAACAGGAAGGGTAGGAACTTTTAAACACGTGAATGTCATTTATCAATAACCAAAAGCATATGTCATGCCAAAGTGAAATTCTAAAGACATTTACATAAAAAATAAAAATAGGACAGGTATGTTTGTCATTATTGTTATACAACACTGTTCTGGAGAAACCAGCTATATAATAATAATCAGTATAAACATTAGAAGACATTTTAAAAATCTCTATTTACATGTGGAATGATTACACATCTAGAAAATCTAAAATATTCTATTCTAAGTCTACTGTACTTTAGGATTAAAATAATCACTGGATAAAAGATAAAAATATAAATTTCTGTAGGTTTCTTTTATTACCCCAAATAACAAGTTACAAATGAGGAAGGAAAATGTCCAATTCATAATGTTATAATTTAATATTTACAAAAAATACTTACAGAATAAATTCAGGTAGATATGATGTGAAGCATATTATTAAAATAATAGTAAAATTTCCAATGATGTCTCAAAACTCTTGAATGTTAAAGCTTGATATTATTAAATAATCCTTCAAAGGGGAATGCAGAAATGTAATTCACCTCTAATTAGGACATCAGACTCTTTTTAAATGTCAAATATAGTTTGAATTTTCATTTGAAAGGATAAATGTCAAGGACAAATTGTATGATTAATAATAAATTTCAGACAGATCAAACATTTTAACTTTAAAAACAATGAAATAATTAGAAAAATGTAGGTGAAAATTTGTATGACAAGTTAGGGACATCCATCTGAAAAAGACACAAAACCAAAAAATAAAAAAGGCTATAAAAAATCTACCTAAATTTTTAAAAAAGTATAAAGTAAAATATATCATCAATAAAGTCAAGATTAATGATACAATGAAAAATCATAATGAGTTACAAATGATTAACTGGATTTTATAATGAATTTCTACCAATTTATAAAGAAAAAAATATCAACAACTCAATAGACCAGTGAACAAAGGATAGTAATTGTCAAATCATAAAAAAGAAATGTCCTCATAGAAAAACAAATACTGAAATCTGGTGAATGTCAATTAAAGTGACAAGTAATAAAATGTAATTCTTCACCTTTCGGGTTTTTAAGCATTAATTACTGCTGTAGAAAATGCTGGAAATGGGGACTTTCATTTTGAATACTGCAGTATTCTTGTAATATTTCTTAAAATTAAACATATGCCTATTTATTATTTCTGAGAATCCAACCTATAAAAATAAAAGCACCAATATACATTGGCAATGTTACAATAAAAAGGAAATAAATGACATTAACCACAATTAACAGAATGTTGAATACTTTTCTTGGCATCTCTACATATACTGTGTATATATAGCAGTAAATTAAGAGTGAGAGATGGTGGCAGAGTCAGAAAGACTGAGTGTAACTACTAGTCTGGAAGGATGTCATCTCTATGCAAAGTGGAAAAAAAAACAATTAGATAAATGCACACAACTTGTCCTTTTTACAGAAACTACTTAACAAACTTTGCGGACAGAGAAAAGAAGGGCATAGTTTATGTTTTCAACACTTGTTACCTGGGAAGAAGAAAGAGGGAAGTAAAAAGTTGGGGAAGAAGGACATGGTGGGATTGATCTGCTTTTGCATTGTTCCAATGGTTGCACTTTATTTTTCTATTAATGCCCAATTAAAATTTTCAATTACAGAATAAATATCAAAATTATTTATTACCTTGGGGCAAAACCGTGAAACTAGACAATGTAAAATTTGGTGACACAATAATATTTACCACTTTCCTGAATTCTTTATGTCGAAACTGTCCTCAAAGATTACAATTATGAGAACACAAAATATTTTACATCTAAAAGCTCCACAACTTTTGCAAAGAGCACAATGAACTTACGGAGTTTTCACCAAACCATAGACATAAATGTGAATATCATCATCAAACTTAATAAAGTAGACAGACGGCTTGGCCACCACTTGATGGATGAAAATGCCAGTTCTCTTGGACCCATCATCTTTGGCGTGCTCCACCTGCTTGCCCACAAGGCTGTCGACCACTTCTCCAGGCTCCCGTTCCGCTGTGGGAAAATAGTAGCTGGAATCTGGAATGATGCGAAGGTCACCATCTTTGTAGTCGTCCAGCAAAGTGTACATATAGAGGACCGGATCTTTCTCATAGGTGATATAAAACCAAGTATCCATCACGGGGGCTCGCGCCAGCACCATGCCCTTCCATTCATCTTTTGTACCATGCTCGCCTTCAAACACATGCCCCACTGCCTTCCCAATCAAGGAATCTGCCAAGCCTGAATCAATACGAGGGGTTGGCACTCTCTCGGGAAGAATCTCTAGCGCTAAAACTCTTTTATCTCGGTGCAGTTCTAGTCCATACACACTGTCTTTGCCATCATACTTAATGATGTAGAGTGTGGGCTTCACAGAAACCTGCTCGAGCACAGTGCCCTTCCACTGCTCCACCGGCTCATTGCCTTCTTTCCAGCCGTGTTGAATGCGGCAGCCCACTATGTTCCTACAAGTGAGGAAAGTGGGCTTGCGCCGCTGCTTCCTGTGGGTGTGCCTTTTCTTCATCAGGTATGCAGACACACCATCTATCCCTGTCGGAGGCACGGCTGGAGGAGACATAGCTCGGGGCTTAAGAAGGTTTAAGCGAAGTAGTCGCTTGCTTCACTCAGCTGACAAAAATGTCAACACTATCCCAAATGAGATTTTTTTTTTTTCCGATCTCAGAGACTGGACCCTTTCACCCTTCTCCAAGCGCTTGCTCCAGAGCTTGACAGAAAAGCTCTAATTCTAACTGAGCACTGGGACAGCGTGTGCCTCTCAACCGTGCTCCAGACCGGGAGAGAAACTCCAGCCGTGTTGGCTAGAGAGAGATGGCGGGCTCGTGTGTGCTGTCGATTCTTGGCGCCTGCCCAGACTCCCAACCCCAAGTTCCTGAATCCACCACTTATCTGTTGTCGATGCTGCTGTGGTAGCGGCACGGCGACAAAGAAGGAGACGACTGGGAAGGTAAGCGAAAGATAAGGACGGCTGCAATGGCAAAAGTGCAGGCGGCGGCGGCAGGTCTCTGAGGAGTTAGCGCGGCCTGGCCTTTGCAGTGCTAGTCGGTTTGGGCCAGCTGTGGAACCGCGTTTTTTGCGGATTAGGGAACCCGCCCCCTCCGAGCCCGCCTGTACCTCGGCCCCGCCCCCTGCCATCTTGCCTTCCGCTCCGCGGGCTTCTGCTGGGAGGGTCAGCGCGCGTGCTTGCCTTGGGTCTGCACTGACACAGGCTCTGTCTTTTATTTTCTCTTTCGCCCCCTACTGTTTCTCTCAGACCTCATCCAGACAGACCGGCTCCCCTCCTCCTCTTCTCTGGCTGCCAGCTGCCCAACAGCCTCCTCCACAGAGGCTCCATCTGCTTTCTATCTTCCAGGAATTCATCACAATCCTGTTTAAAAAAATTTCAAAGCACACAATGGGGCTGGGGGAGAGACAAACACAGACACAGAGACAGAGAGACAGGATTTTTGTACAAAAATGTGCGTACAAATTATTTTCTTTTACTTGATATGAGAGGAAAAAGGCCGTGCACCGTCCACCATCTTGATTCAAATTTTCCTTTATATTTTCTACCTGATCGTTTTTGGTGATGATTTTTAATAATTATTTTGTACGTAAAAAATATATTGACATTGTAGAGATTTTTCAAAAATTCAGTGAACTGAAAGATGAAAACTTAATCAGAAATCATCTAGGCATACAACAAAATGTTACTCATGCTAATGTTTCCCTTGTTCATAGATTTGTGCTATAGCTTACGTATTTGGGAGTGCATTTTATACTTACATAGCTTGTTTTTATCATTTATATCATTAGAATTTTTAGGAATATTAAAAACTCCACATCCCTGATTTTTAATAGTTCCATATTATTTGTTTGTAATATTCCTTTGATGGTCCATTATTCATCTGAAATATTCTCTGTGAGAAGAAAAAATAATGAAACTATTTTACCTGCCTACATAAATTTATTGAGCTTGTTCAAACCATGTTTTTAAAGGAATATTTAATGACACAGATCTGCATTTGAGATAAGAATATTGTTTGAAAACTGAAATGTTGAAATAAAATGTCAACATTTTGCAGAGAGACAAACAAGACAATTTTTGTGTGTATTTGCTATTTTTCTGATTTTGAGAGTTCTAATTGCTTATATAGAAAATCAAAAAGGTAGGAAAAAAGTGTCATAGGACTGCTATGAGGATTAATAAGAATTTCCCCAAAACCTTGAGCACTGTATTCCACTTATAAAATAGCAAAACAAGCAAACAAAAAACACAAACAAACAAAAATGTAGGAGGCTGTAGATCCTTACTTTCATCTTCTACCCTTCACTGTTGAGAAGACCTCATGTCACTGAGTTAAAAAGGCAAGTAATTCACCTGGAACTATAGAAATCATCAGAAAGCTACACGGTAGCAACACTCACTGCTTCCACATTTTATTACCTTCTAAGTCAGTGACAGAACAGCCTAGTTCTCATACTGTTGTTGAATAGCTGGTTGGGCAGAAAATGTGAGGATTCTCTAATTTCTCATTATTCCTAGGCCAAGGACATTGGGGATGGAATAATTTTCCAATACTGTCTCATAAGGAAGAAAGAAAAAGAAAATATGCATCTAAAGCTTTTCTAACCTTTTTAGAATGGCATAGCGATGTATACATATTAACACAAGTATATGACCTCCATATGCACATTCAGTCAAAAGCCATGCTTAAATGTTATACCTTTATTTTATCAATTAATATCCCTCAGAATAATTCTACAGACCAAGACTCACTAAACTCTTTCATAGTAAAAGAGCACTTGACAGATGAAAGAAGATGACAACCCTGACAGGCATAAAAATACAGGGTAAACAATTGCTTTATTCCCTTGTTACATATTTTGAAGGAATTCTTGCTTCTAATTTAATAGAGGCAAAATTTCTAATATAATTTCTTTTTGAAAATTATGATTCTGGTGTTTAGATCATTCACCAGAAATATGGATTTAAAGGGCTTTCTCACATTAATGTAAATATTTACCTTGTATATCTCCTATAATTGATACTCAGTAGGTGTTTGTTAAATGAATAAATGTTTTCAGTTTCCCTGCTCCAATGCCAAAAGTCTTTCTCAATGAAAAAAGTAGTCTCCATCCTCTCCACATTTCCCTATTTACAAATAATTTTCCCTTTTTTCCTTATGAGGGAAAAAATAAGAACCAAGGTATATTGTGTAAAGGTACAAATTCTCAATGATGAATGTCATCATGTTGTATACCTAAAATGTACCAATAAACTTAATGAATAAAATATAGTCTTACAGAAGCCTCAGAAGAATGTGGTCACAGAGAATCAGAACCTCCAACAACAATTTCAACCCTTCAAAAACACTTGGATCACATATCCTGTAAGTGCATTCGTACATAAGTCTGAAAATTCTTAGGAGAGCATATTGATGCAGAAAGAACCTGAGAAATTGATTATCAACCTGAAATATGTGAATAGTAAGAAAACCTACACTGAGTGGTAGGTGTGAAGATTAAATCAGACAACTATACATAAATGTCTTAACACATGAACTGGAACCTGGTAAGTAGTCAGTACTCTTGTAACTAGTCATTCTCTGAAAAGTCCTTTTTCTTGTTACATCTGTCTACAAGCCACCTGACTCATGTCTTACCTCTTAATCTTTGTTCTATTTTACATTTAAATCCTCTTTGTTAGCACTGAGTGTGAAAAGTGTGAATCAAGAACTGTAGGGAAAGTGGGAAGTGTAATAAGGGAAAAGAAAAAATGTGAGAAAATGAAAAAATGGAAATAAAGTGTTTGTAAGTGGCAAGGGGAAGAGGGAGGGCAGGGACAAGGGGAAAAATGAGAACCAAGACCTGTCATGTAAAGGTACAAGATCCCAATAATGAATGTAACTGTACTGTATACCTAAAATGTACCAATAAACTCAATGAGAGAGAGAGAGAGAGAGAGAGAGAGAGAGAGAGAGAGGAGAGAGAGAAAGAACTGTAGCAAGATTCTGTACCATATAGCCAGTTTTAAGTCAGTCTTTTTAAATGTTGAGATTTCTGGAAGGCCACTTCTGGGTAAATAGAGCAATATTGAAAACTTCAGAGATCCAATGATAATTTGTAACTGGAAGGATAGTGGAGGTAAACATAAATGCTGCTAATTCCAATGTACAAACCAGATTATAATACATGCTGTGAAAAAGTACATATTCAGCACCGGGCACCTAAAGGAGTTAGTGAGGATGTCATCAGAGAAAACTCGGCAGGTTAGAACAACAATAGTAAGATGTTAAGAGAGCCACAGAATAGTGCAAATTTTTTCAGTCTAAGCAGAAAACAGCTGGAGGAAAAGGATGCATGGATATGGGATATATGACAAATGGTCAGAAATTTTTAGCTGCAACACAGAATGCGCCAGGCTTAGAAACAGAAAGCATGGTTTGTGGTGGGGAGTAAAGTTAGTTAACACCCTCAAATGACAGGCATTGATATACCATCCTTTTCTGATAGTGTGGTATTAAGAGGGTTAAGCAGAGGGCTATCATCTATGTCCCACCTGATGAAAGCAGGTATTGTTCTGATTATCCTGGCAGATTTGTATTGGTGATTCTAGGCAGATAGTTGCTTTTTTGTCTCCCAAACAGGCAGAAGTAAGTGGTGTCGTGTTGCCAGGGTAATGTAAGTTCAAAGAATGAGCTGTTCCTCCACACTTATCTGGTGGTATGAGGTATTATTAGTGATCATTATGTTACAGGTCTATCCCCATATGATCCTGGTAGCAATGGGACTGAACAAGGTAGAATTGAAATAGGTCTATTTAACTGATATTCTCTTTCCCTTTCGCCCTACTGTCAGTGAAAACCAATGAGATGAGTGTCACTCACTATCCATCATCAATGAAACTAAAAAGTGGAAAATATGATGAGACTAGATGGTACCTAACTTTCTCTACAACTTTGGAATTAGTGAAGCCCAGAGCAGTGGGTAGGTGACACTCTACTCTTATTTTAAAGAAATGATGGGATGAGTCAGTACTCCACATTCACCATTAAGATGTCAGAAAACCTTAGATGGAAGTTAATAATATATGAATTACCAGGTGCAGTAAGAAATCACATAATATAAAGAACAAGACATATCACAACTTGAAAGAGAAAATATAATTAACAACTATCACAACTGAGATGAATCAGATGTTGGAATTATTTGAAATGGATTTTTAAGTAACCATAACAAAATATTTCAATATATACTATGAATTATCTTGAAAGAAATGGAAAAAATAGAAAGTCTCAGTAAATAAATACAAAATATTTCTAAAAGAACTCAAAGGAAATATTTTCCACTGAAAAATGAAATAACAAAATTAAAATATTCAGAGGGACAATCATAATAAAACTGGAGATAAAAGAACAAGAATTAGTAAACTTGAGGAGAGAAAATTTGAACTTACACCATGTGAACAATAGAGAAAAGTATTCTGACAAAAATGAAAACATTCACAGGAATTCTGAGATGGTAAAAAAGTGAACATTTACAATTGTGTCAAAGAAATAAAACTTTAGGTAAGATATGTCAAAATAT